CGATGGTATTCGAATATTTCAGAACTAAACTACTATCCAGATTGTAGGGTCATCATTTAGGATTTATGTAAATAATTAATAAGACATTCTCATATGATTAAATAGCCGAGGTCTCCGCTTAATTACCATTTCTTTTGTTTTTTTTTCAGAAAATTTTTTTTAGGTAAACTATGCACCCTTTTTTTGATTTTCGTGACTGTGATACCATATATCTAGATCTGTAGATTTTAAAAGGCTTAACCATGACAAACTTTTTCTGACTCTTCGTGACATGATGATTACAGCTTTTGACTTTACTAGATATTGGGACAAGATCTGTCTTCCCTCACAGTATAGTATTAAAACCCTCTGTTATTTCAGTTAAAGATACAGGCTTCTTCTCCCTTCATTAGGGTGGGGAAACACCCGAAATATTGTATGGTATGAATGTACATAAATATGTATGTATGAATGTATTTCTTTTCTTTCACAAACTATTATAAAATTGGTTGAATTTCCATGTTCTTTATATTGTCTTAAGGCATAATCATGCAATCCACGAGGCGGGAAACAGGACATCTGCTAGCCTCCAGGAGAAAGATTCGAATGCGTGCAAAATTCGTTTGTGCGTCACGGGTCCTTGCGAGCGTCAGGAGGATCACGGGTGAAGGCGTCCTCGCCAGGGGCCGGGGCGTCGTCTTCAGGACACGCTGCTATCGGGGAGGAACAAAAACAAAACGGCCGGGGGGGGCTTTCTCGCGGCCAGAAAGTTGCCTGAGAGTTTATGGCGACATCGCTGACTGCAGAGACGGGAGAGAGAAGAGAAGAGAGAGGAGAAGGAGAGAGAGAGAGAGAGAAGGAGAGACGAGAGAGAAAGAAAGTCAAGAGGAAAGAAAAGAAAGAAAAGAAAAGAAAGAAGAAAGAGAGAGATGAGAGAAGAGGATACGAGAGAGAGAGAGAGGAGAGAGAAGAGCGAGAGAGGCGAGAGCGAGAGCGAGAGAGAGAGCGAGAGCGAGAGCAGAGCGAGAGAGAGAGAGAGAGAGAGAGAGAGAGAGAGAGAGAGAGAGAGAGACCGAGAGAGAGAGAGAGAGAGAGAGAGAGAGAGAGAGAAGAGGAAACGAGAAAAAGAGTGGGAGAAAGGGAGAGAGAAGAGGGAGTAAAAGAGAAAGAGTGAAAGATAGATAATGAGGAATAATAAGGTAGAAAAAAGGATAAAAAAATAAAATTACAAAAGAAAGAAAGAAAGAAAAAAAATACGAAAAATATAAACTGATGAACGAATTGTAGTAAATGATGTAAAATATAAAAGACAAGTATTACAAAATATTTATTTGATCTTCACAACCAAATAAACAAGCGTATTTATCAAATTCTGATTCCAGTGTATGTACTGTTTGTGCACGTGGTTTGTGTATGTATATAAGTGTTTATTTCTTTTTGTATTGCTCTCAAACGATGTAAATTACATATATGATTTCAATAAAGAACATACAAACAATGGAATGTTATCAAAACCAAATAACATAACAGGCATAACTACGAGCTTTTGTTCACATGCAAGCGTACATAAAAAAAAAAAAAAAAAAAAAAAAAAAAAAAAAAAAACAGACTACTGACTATTTGTCTACATTAAAAAAAGAAAAAAAAACAACATTATTAAAATTTAATAACATTATTAGAATCAAATAACATTGTTAAAATTAAACACTTAGCTTACGATTTTCGAATTAGTAATAAAAGGCAAAAGAAATACACGGTGAAAATTCTGTTATTTCCACCGTGGACCAGAGGTGGTTTTATATCCTGTCTTTTTTTTTTCTCTCTCTCTTGATAACAATTTCCTTAATGTTATTGTCTATCTTTTATGTATGCCCTTTACTGTGTTTTTTTTTTTCTTCCTCTCTATTTGCTTTCGCCCAATTTTCTTGATTGCAATTTTCCGTTATCACTAATCTTCAGTAATTCCCGATTCTGTCATCATCCTTCTAAATTCTCGTTTCCTTCGACACCAACCGTTAAGAGTTTGCTTGTATATTTTGAGCGGAAATAATCCTCGTAAACAACATTTTTATTTCTCATGATTTTTGTTTAGTTTACGTTTTCTGTCATCGCTAACCCTACTTAATGCCCGTTTTCTATAATCACCCAACCGAGCCCCGATTCCCATTTTCCCGCCACTCCCAAACCCCGTTTTCTATACCGCTCCGCCTCCATCATCCCCACGCTAACCTCGCCTCGACCCGCTGCTCTTCCCCGAGGACGACCTACTCCTACTCGAGGATGTCCACTTGCGCACGGTACTCCAGTTCTTTCTACGGTACGACGACCCTCCGCCGCCATCGCAGTCATCCCCCTCGCAAGGCTGGCCGTATATGATTGCCAACACCACCGCCACGATGACCACCACCACCAGGACGGCGATGAGGACGAGGACCTTGTTGGAGACCATGGTGGAGGACGGGGGGAGGGAGGGGGGCGGAGAGGGGGTCCGAAAATCTGTGCAAAGAATAGAGATTTTGTTATTGTTATTATTATTACTAGTATCATCGCCATCTTAATTATCTTCACCATCGTCATCATCATCGTCATCAACTTCATCTTCATCTATTATCATTATCACCACCACTGCATCATTACTTTCTTTAGATGTAGTAGTAATAGCTTTATCATCATTGGCAAAATCGTTAATATTGTGATAATTACTATCTTAAATTCCTATGATCAATACTACCTTTGTTATCACTATCATTATTATCATGATAATTATCTTTATTATTCTCATTATTAATATTACTAACAGGGTTAATAATATTATAATCATCGATACAATGATCATAATAATTATAATTATTCTCATTATAATTATTATTGCCATTATCATCATTATTACTATATTATCTCATCATTATCGACATCATCATCGTATAAGCAATGATAAAATGAAGGGGAAATAAAACATTAATTAACTGAAAAAATTAAATTTGGCATATGGATGAAATGAAAATATATTAGATATACAGTATACTTCAAAGGTGATGTGAAGAACATTCTGTAAAAGAATGCACAAAAACCATACGTATTAACGAATCAATTATACATACATAAAATTATGTTATATATATATATATATATATATATATATATATATATTATATATATATATATATGTATATGTATATGTATGTATGTTGCACACACACCACACACACACACACACACACACACCACACACACACACACACACACATATATATATATATTATATATATATATATATATATATATATATATATATATATATATATATATATGTACATATATGTGCTTCTATATGAATGTATATTGATACATACACATATCTATCTTATCTATCTATCTATCTATCTATCTATCTATCTATATATATATATATATATGTATTATATATATATATATATATATATATATATATATATATATATATATATGTTAAGTATAGATATATATATATTATTTATATATATATTTATACACACCCACCACACACACACCACAACAAACAACACACACACACACACACAACACACACACACACACCATATATAATATATATATATACATATATATATATATATACTATACATAAATATGTATTATGTTGTGTGATGATTTGTGATGTGTGTGTCGTGTGAGATGCATGTTGTGTTGTGCTATGTGTGTGTTGTGTGTATGGTGGGTGTGTTGTGTGCCGTTGTATGTTGATGTGTGTGTGTGTTGTGTGTGTGTGTTGTGTGTCCTGTGTTGTGTGTGTGTGCGTGTGTTTGTGTGTGTTGTGTGTGTGTTGTATGTGGGTGTGTGTGTGTGCGTTGTGTATGTGTGGTGTGTTGTGTGTGCTGTGTGTCTGGTGTGTGCGGCTGTCTGTGTGTGTGTGTTGTGTGTGTGTGTTGTGCGTGCGTGCGTGCGTGCGTGCGTGGTGCGTGCGTGCGTGCGTTGGTGTGTGTGTGTGTATATGTGTGTGTGTGTGTGTGTGTGTGCGCACATACACTATATCTATCGTATCTGTCCTATCTGTCTATCTATCTATCTATATTCTATCTATTCTATCATATCTAATCTATCTATCTATCTATCTATCTATCTATCTATCCTATCTATTATTATTATATATGTATATTATTATTATATTATATACTTATATATATATATATACCCCAAAACAATACCCCAAATATATATAAAAACCCCCATACCACCCCCCCCAAAAACCAAACCCCAACACACAACACACACACACAACACACAACAACATATATATATATATATATATATATATACTATATATATAGTGTATAAGTATCATCATGGATCATCATCATGGGGGCTGACGCCGACGGGGGCGCATAGCCGCATCCACCCTTCGCTATTCCACCTACGAGGATCCCTCATGGCTAGACGCCAGCAGGGGACTCGGCCCATCTCTAGTTCTTCACGGCAGGGTTTGGTCGATCTGCCCAGCCATGACTTCCTCGGTCGTCCCACAGGCCTCCTCCACCCAGGGTTGTCTCGAATAGAGACGACCTGATGGGCAGGATCATCCTGAGGAAAGCGAGCCAGGTGGCCGTATAGCCTGAGTTGGCGATCACGGATTGTGCAGATAACAGGGCTTGTGCCAGTCTCACGGTGCAACCGTTGGTTGGACACATGGTCCCGCCAACAGTACCCCATGATCTGGCGCAAGGACCTATTGCAAAAAGGCTTCAAGAGGAGCCTCCAAGGCACAGGACATGTCCAGGTTTCGCTACCGTATAGCAAAACTGGCAATTATCAGGCTTGAAAACCGAAGCTTGGTCCTTCTGCACAGGTACCGACATCTCCAAATACTTGTTGAGAGAGTTCATGACCCTGCTGCCAGGCCAATCCGTCTGCTGACTTCATGGTCTGACAGCCAGAGTTATGAACTACACTACCAAGGTATTGTAAAGCTCTCTGTGACTTCAATGTCCTCGCCGCAAGCACGTACCGACTGAACAGGTTCTCCTATCAAGTCCCCAAATTCCTGGACCTTGGTCTTGGTCCAGGAGACCTCTAGACCCAGGGGCTTTGCTTCATTGCTAAATGCATCGAGAGCCGCCACTACGGTTTCCAAAGACTCAGATAGAATGGCAACGTCATCAGCAAAGTCAAGGTCTGTAACCTTGATATTGCCCAGCGTTGCCCACACAATGACTTTGAACAGTAGCTCTGCCAGTATCCAGTCCATGCAAGTGTTGAAAAGAGTTGGTGCAAGGACACAGCCTTGCCTCACTCCTGAACTAACAGGAAAAGAAGCTCGACAGGCCCCCACCACACTTTACAGCACTTTCAGTACCAGTATACAGGCTTGCTATTAGTCCAATAATCCTTGTTGGTATTCCTCTCAGCCTCAGGATCTCCCAAAGTGACTCCGATGCACCGTATCGAACGCCTTCTTTGAGGTCGATGTAGGCTGCAAGTAGCCCACGCCCGAATTCACGACGGCGCTTACAATGACTCGAAGCGCGAGGTACTGGTCTATTGTGGACTTACCAGGCAGTCTCCGGATTGCTCCATTCTCGGGTACCTCAGTAGATGGTCTCTGATACCGTCTCAGAAGGATGTGGGCGAGAACTTGCCTGGGTACACTGAGCAGTGTGATGCCTCGGTGATTGCTGCAGTCCCAATGGTCCCCTTCCCCTTCCAGAGAGGGAATGCCACACCCCTAACAGGTCAGGAGGAACGGTAACCGGACTGCCAGATGGCAGCCAGGACAGCATGTAACCCCCGTGCCATAGGTTCACCACCGCCTTTAACAGTTCAGCTGGTATGCGCAGATACCAGATGCTTTACCACT